CATTGAGGTCACAAAACTGAGGCATCCCATGAAGCTTTTGTTTTTATCCTTTATTGTGGCAAAAAGTGATATTCCCAGTAACTACTAAAAAATAACACCCTTTAACATAGATAACTAATTTTAAATAAATACCTTTAATTGGTTATCAAATTATTTGCATTTTAATGCATTTTTGTTTGTTTTTCGTCTTCTGAAAGTACGCCTAAATGTTTGTGTGTTAAAAATATTGCCACAGTATTAACAATACATATTAAATTCAATTTTGACTCTCAACCTAAAAACTATACATTATATTCGTAGATAAAACGTTCACTCTTTAAAAAATTAAAAATACAAAATGCGATCAGAGTGTGGGTAAAGGTGGGAGTGTGTGGCTGGAGTATGTCAGAGGGTCCCATAGAAGGGAAGTGAGTGTTTGACAGAAGAGGGAATATTGCTTTCACAACTCGCTTAAAGTGAGACGCTGTTTTTAAACTGGTCTGGTCTGGATGTAATACTCCTGCACCGTTTTCCTGATGGACATGAAGAAGTCCCTGCATGGTTGGACCCGTAGCAATGTGTCTGCCCATCTTCTGGATTTGTGAAGCATAAATTGAGTTCAGATCTAGTAGATGGTGTCCCGCAATCCCCTGTGCTGTCCTCGCCATCAGGAAGAAATGCTTCCTATCCTTTTGTAGCTCCCAGACCACACCGTCACGCTGAGACACGACATGCTTTTTGTTTTGGTCGTGTAAAGGTTTGCAAGCAACCGAAAACAGAATCCAGACCATGTCTGCTTCCTGAGAAAAAGAAGCCATTGTTGGGCCTTTATCCACAAGTTAGGATGTGTCCTCAGTCCAGAGGAGGTCAGCAGGAGTGTGACTAAAAAAAAACAAAAATTCCAGAACTGTCTGCTGAAGGAAGCTGCATGTTGAAGTAGCTCTGCTAGATTGGTCCTCCATGAGTGACTTGTTTCTTTTTCTGTTTTTCTTTTTTTTTAACCACTGGATTGAATGCCATGCAGCTAAATGGATTTTGCCAGTGTCTTATCTTTTTATTTGGGGACATTTCTTATGATGCATAACCGTAGCAACCATTGCAACTTGGTATGTTACACCCAGGAGCAGTTTTTTTACTTTTTAAAAGCTGAAATAATGATTCCGCTACTGACCCAGAAGATGGTTCCAATGTGGTGGAAGACCTCCGGTACCAAAGAAGACTCAGCCATCAAACATATTTTTACTTTCTTCTCAATGATGCTTTACATTCTAACTGTTAAATGCTAGTGTGCACTAAGCTGCATAGCTTGAATCTGCCCTATTATTTGTCTCCAGTCAGATGTTCACACTAATCTGAAGCTCAGTGGCTTTGCTTTAGCGTTTATCTTGTTTTTTCAGGTCCAGCACTACAAGGCGAGGCGATTTAATTTGTATGGCACAATTCAAAACATGGACAATTCAAAATGCTTTACAGGAATTATACAATAAAATAGAAGAAAAATCAAAGCACAATTAAAGGCAAAAAAAAAGCAGAATAAATCAAAATTAAAACATGATAGTCCTTCATGGACAGAATTTCTAGGCGCAGCAAAGGTGTTGAGGCGATCCGTTTTGGTAGCATCTCTGCTTTTTGCAGATGATGTGGTCCTATTGGCTTCATCAGGTCGTGATCTGCAGCTCTCGCTGGATCAGTTCGCAGCCGAGTGTGAACCGGCTGGGATGGGGATCAGTGCCTCCAAATCCGAGGCCATGGTCTTGAGCCGGAAAAGGGTAGAGTGCCTTCTCCGGGTCGGGGGGGGGGGGGGGGGGGGGGGGGGGGTGTCCTGCCCCAAGTGGAGGAGTTTAAGTATCTTGGGATCTTGTTCACGAATGAGGGAAGAAGGGAGCGGGAGATCGACAGGCGGATTGGTGCAGCGTCTGCTGTGAAGCGGGCGCTGTACCTGTCCGTCGTGATGAAGAGAGAGCTGAGTCAAAAAGCGAAGCTCTCGATTTACCGGTCGATCTACGTTCCTACCCTCATCTATGGTCATGAACTCTGGGTCATGACCGAAAGAACGATTTCGCGGATACAAGCGGCCGAAATGGGTTTCCTCCGTAGGGTGGCTGGCTCTCCCTTAGAGATAGGGTGAGAAGCTTGGTCATCCGGGAGGGACTCAGAGTAGAGCCGCTGCTCCTCCACGTCGAGAGGAGCCAGTTGAGGTGGCTCAGGCATCTGTTTAGAATGCCTCCTGGATGCCTCCCGGGTGAGGTGTTCCGGGCACATCCCACCGGGGAAGACCCAGGACACGCTGGAGGGACTATGTTTCTCGGCTGGCCTGGGAACGCCTTGGGGTTCCTCCTGAGGGGCTAGAAGAAGTGGCTGGGGAGAGGGAAGTTTGGGCCTCCCTTCTTAGGCTGCTGCCCCCGCGACTCGCCCCCGGATAAGCGGAGGAAGATGGATGGATGGATAAAACATAAAAGCAGGTAGAGAAGAAAATAAAACAGCTTGATCACAACCTAATAATACCTGAGTTAACAGTTTAACTTCAGCAGTCAAAAGAAGCTCTAAACAAATGGGTTTTTAACTTTAAAGAACTCAGGCTTTCAGCACTTTTCCAGTTTTTTGTTCCAGATCAGTGAAGCATAGGAACTAAATGCTGCCTCTCCTTGTTTGGTTCTAGTTCTGGATGAACAGAGTAAACATGAACTAGAAGACCTGAGTGATCTGGGAGGTTAATACACTGATAACAAATCTGTTATGATCCATTCAGTGATTTGAATATTATTTCTGAGCTACAGGTTTAGAAGTGGGCTTGATGTGCTCTACTTTCTTAGTTCTAGTAAGAACACCGAAATCGGCAGGAAGCTCTGATCTCCAGATTTAAAAAATCAACAAAACCGAAAATTTATAATGCATTTTTTTATTATAATGATGGTTCCTTTGATTAGTTTTAGTATTTACCTTTGTCTTTTGACTGAAACTTTTCCTTATCTATTGCACACGGTCAGTTGTTTGGTCCTTAGTGGACACAAACACAACCCCTCTGCTAGGGTGGTAATGGTTTGTGAATAAAATAAGCAAAATAGAAATAATATATTTGTTTTAGGGCTGGGCGATAATTCAATAACGATATATATCGATCGATAGACGTGTGGCGCAATAGAAAAAAAGAGGGTCGATAAAAGTTCGATAAAAAAGAAACGCAGTTTTCCTTCCTTCTCATTGTAGCCTAACATGTAGGTTTATGCTAGTCACTACTTCCTCCCAACCAATCACAATCGCGGACCCAGGCATGCCGTCACCAAGCGCCGCCCTCTCAAACCACAACACAGAGCACATGAAGATGCAGCAAGTAGAACCTTTTTCAACAAAGGGTTTTTGTAGTTTGGCAGTCTGGCAGTATTTCGGTCATGGCAAGTCGGACCAAAAACAAACCACAGTCATCTGGAAAATGTGTCGGGAACCAGTGAAAACCATTCTGATAACGAAACCAACTTTTTTTTTATCATCTCAGCCGCTCACAGCCCCGGTGCGGCTCTCCTCCGAGGAATCTTCGGAAAATATATATATATTTTCAGTTCTGGGCAGTTTCCCACGTAGTTCTAACAATTGAGATAAAAATGCTGAGGGGCCAGAAACTTCAAAGTAATAACTCAGGTTAAAGCAGGAAACGGGGGCGGCGGCGGTGGGGGGCATTTATTTATTTGTTATATTTATTTTGGTCACTTTAGTTTATTCTTTGTCAGTATTTAATAACATAACTCAGGTCTCTTAAGTTATTTTTCTTTAAAACAATTCTGTTATGGTTAAAAAAGTTGGTTAAATAAAGATTTAATTCGAAGTCTGTGTTTGTGTTTTTTATTAAAATTAAATCATTTAGCAATATTATAAAAGTCAAGGCAGAGCTGCACATAAAATATGGTTTCAAATCTTTTCAATAATTATCGATATCGATCAATATGCATTTTTTTTTTATCGATAAGCTTTTTTTCTATATCGCCCAGCCCTAATTTGTTTCATAACAACTAATAATCAGTCTATTGATGAAGCTGTTTGCATTTGATTTATTTCGCTGGAATCACATTTCTCGTTCACTTTTTTAATAGAGATTATCACACATCTGTGTAATGTGTCCCTATTTTATCCTCTGGTCGGCTATCCGGCTCAGATGAATGAACGCTTTGAAGGTTTGAACTGAAAGTGGTTCCTCTTCCCGCCTCCTGCACTGACTGATGTTACCAGAATAAAGCGGTGCATAGCAACTAATGGAGCCACTTAGAGATTTTAAATGAAACAAAAGTCCTAATCTTAGCTCACATTTATCAGAAGGAAGAAATATCTTTTGTAAGTCCTGTTTAGTTCATAAGTGATTCTTCACGGTCCAAATTTGTGGGAAGAAATTTTCAGCGGTAAGCAAACGCCTGTGGTGTTTATGAGTTCTGATTCTTAGTTTGACTTGGAGGGTAGATGATGATGACCGTGGCACGTATTCAAGGCCAGAACACTGCTTCCAGTTGAGGGGAAGCGAGGTTCTGTTGTGAATGAATTATATGACCTTAGCCAGACTCAAACAACTTTTCAGCCCTGTTCTGTATATTTATGGAGACACATGAAAGGCTGTAGTGATTAATCATATTGGATTTCATATTCCATGCTGTACCACACGATTGTTGAGGTTTTGAACCTCTGTTGCGCCATGTGAGGTTTTACCATCAACTCCAGCGAAGCCGTAAATGCAAAATCTTTGAACATCTGGACAGTAAATAACAAAGGGGCACTGCTATAAATGCATGTCCAATGAACATTTTAACATATTTCTTTTATTTTCTTCTTAAACAGTTAGGCTCTGAGTCGCAGCCATTTTGTCTTAGCTTTAGGGGCTGAGTGACGGCTGTGTAGGCTGAGTTTCATTAGGGAACCACTGAACTGCTGCGCTGCACCAACGTTGGAAATCCATCGAGGAACTAGGAAGGCTCCAGCAGAGCAAAGTTTCCGTCTAACGGAGATCAGCTGAATGAATCTGAGCGAGAAACAGCCTAAAAAGTTCAACTGAACACCAGCTTCCTGTACATACACATTATATAGAGCAGGCATGGTTTTCCGGGTGTTTGTCACTTTTCCACTTTCATGTCAGATGCATCATATTTGCTGTTATTTGTAATGTTTTGCCTCATTTTGTCTGAACTGCTGGGCTAAAATAAACACACTATAAGGAAAAGCTTGCTGCTCAGCCACAACAGTAACGTGCAACGTTCCCTAATTCTTCTGGACAACTTCAGCTGAATTAAAACATCAGAACAGAAGTTTGGATGAAAGCCCTGCAGAATGTAAATAGCATGTTGCACCACAGAGGTGAAGGAACTGTTTATTGGATCAAAGCTTAGACGTAGCTCTCAGACGGCTGGCAACCATCATTCTTCTTGGCGGGTGGAGGAAACGGAAATCCAAGGATTCGGAGCTGCGTATGTGGCTCTCAGAGCCGTAAACAAAAACTAACAGTAATTGGAGCAACGTGCCACTGTGCTGCTTTGTTTTACAAGTTAAAACATATTGACAAGAGCCAACCAAGCTCAGGAGTATAAATATACTGCAGTGACGGCTGTAATGAGGAGGACGAAGCCTCAAAGCTTCACCTGCTGCCACGATGAACGCTGGCATTTGGAGCCCAGCAACGGATCAGCTCCAGAGCGACATTAGATAGCGGTTAGATCATGGCGCTGGCGTCCGGGGCGGGACCTTTCTCCGGAGTTGGGGGTTCTCCCAGGGGCGTTTTCACTCGTGTTTTCTGAGCATCGTTGTGCGGCTCCAAATATTAGGCCATTTTTCACTTATTACACTTGTTTTCACACCAGCTTTTTGTCTCTTGGCACCAAAAACTGCAGTAAATGGAGGAGCTTGATGTCTCCATGACAACCAGTTGAAATCCAGAAGCGCAGCTGCTGAAAAAAGAACCAGAGTTAAATGGATAATACTTTAATGATGGAGACTGAGGAACGTTAACTGTAGCTCTCGCCTTTTATTTCTTTATGGTTTTCTTGAAGTATTGGACAAAAAATAATGTTTAAAAATTAAGGGCAGCTGCAGCTTTAAAATCTACTGATGTACTGTAGACGATCTGCCTGATTCAGGAGAGGGCGTAGATTAATGCTCCATGTATTCTTCCATATCAATGCGTTTTTGGCACCATGTTTTTTCTCCTCCACTCTTTACATTTGATAACTGCTGCACTTTATGGAGTGGAAATGTCCATTTACTGTCTCAAAAGCTGTACTAAACGTAAGTTTGTTTTGTATACACAAAAAAAGGTCCTTAACATGCACCATGAGATCCTCATCTGGAGCAGATACCAGCCACCGCTTTATGACATATGTCATATATAATTATGTTTTCACACTAATGTGCAGCAGAGTTCAGCTGGTTGTTGCACATCAGAGTCCTATCTAAAGCTGCAGGCATGAAAATAGCCTTAGTTACTATTTTACCGCTGTTTTACTTTAAGTACCATTTATTCAACCTATGAAGTGCTGGATTCTATAGAGTCACACAATTATTGCACTGAAAACCATCAGGATCCAAGTCTGTATTGGTATGGTCAAATACTCGGTTATATTACAATCTAATTAAATAATAATTATAAAATCAGGAAGGCTTTTTTTAATATAACTAAATCTTCATCCTTTTGGTGCAACAAGAATTATTGAAACTACTGCTGTGCCGCACTAATAAAACATCCTGCTGCACACCATCAGCTCCCATTAGTTCATCTGGAAAGAAACACCAATTATTTACAAACCTGCATATAAATCATATTTCCACATTATTCTGGATAAGATTTGGACATCATTGGACGATTGGATCTGTGATATTTTACACGTCTTTTTTCTGACTTTTTAGCTAGTTGAATTGTAGCAAGTTTTGTCTTTCTATCCTACATGCTGGGAGGTCAAAAGGCTGCTGCTGGTGTGTGGTTTGATTTCATCCTAAATACCAGACCCTCAGCGGTTCGTTTAGACGACTTTGAAGTCTAGTCGGCAGGTTGAGCCTCTGCACACTGTATAGGAGTGTGGTAGTTTTATGGGCTGGTCACTAACCTTAAGCTGCAGGTGGAGGCAGGAAAATGCATCCATCACTCAGATGTAAAGAACCAGAACCACCTCCTCCACACAGAGTTCCTCTCCTGCTTCACTGCTCTATACAGATCGCAGTGTACGTCTCTCATCTCTGTATCCGCTGCTCTCAGTAGAGCGCATAAACCCAGCAGGTTCTGTCAGAAACATGTTGTGTTTTATTGAAAGGATGTAATTAAAGCAAATCTGTTAGCTAAAGCTTGGAGTCTGGTAAACTTTACCGGCGGCGCTGCTTTTAACTTGGCTAGAGATTAACATTATTACCCAGCACAACTTCTGTGCAGCACCTGCAGCCCAGATTTAAGCCCTACAAGCATTTTTCCTTTTATTGGAGCAGCAAAGTTGCATCAGCAGGATGTGAGCTTACTGGATCACAACCCCAGGGATTGGCAAGACAATGAAAAAATAACTCATAACTGCAAAATTTGGGTTCCATCTTCTCCACAAAGAAAAACATAATGATTCTCTGGCATAATGTCATTGTTTTGTTGTGCATTAATTTCTCAACGGTCTCACACACATATGTATGAGCTTGGGACAATGACGACTGATGAGGCAACACAGTCCAGCAGCTTTTCAGCTACTGACCAATCAGCAATGGCGATTTGTCCCGAAGTGAAATGTCCCTGACCTGAATTAGCAGCAGCTTCTTTCCTTTTAACAAAATTTTGAAATACAAAGGTGAAGCAGGCAGAAGGATTTTCTGTAAAAGGCATCTAATAAATACCTCGTAAGGCTAAATGCTCTCAGTGGGGAAGATGTGATCTAATCTGTGTTCAGATGGTGAAACACAGTTTCAGTCCAATCCAAACCTGGAAAAGTCTCCTGAAAATGTAAACGATGCGAAGAGGCCTGCTGCCCACCTGATGAGCAAATGAACACAACAGAAAAATGGTGGTTTGTTTATTTAATAAAGGAGCCATGTAGTGATGAACTGCATCCAAGGAAATGTGCTCGCACCCTGAATCTAGATGTGACGCAAACATCCTTCCAGTTTTAGCCCTTTGTTTCCGAACTGTTTTCACTCACCTGCTACTAAAAGCAAATGAAGCAACATGCATTTGTCTGTTGTTTCCTTTTAAACTCGTACGGAAATCATATTTAAATGTCAAATCATTCTGGCTTAAACATGCATATAAACTTACTCTTTATCAAACCATACTGTCCCAACATTTAGAAAATTTCTATTTTAAAATAAATCCTGTCCTGTCTTTTTTTCGGTATCTTATACAGGCAGTTAGTTGTACGTCAGCCTGAACACCTAAATTCGGCCAATCATATATCAACGATCAACTGTCAATGAAATTTTTTCGTTCATGGCATCTTGAATCAAATGTCTCAGCAAATATTTCTCAATGGTTCAAATAAGAAATAAGAATCATTTCCTTTCCTATTGAGTTGCGTCCCAGTGTTCACGGGGATGGACGTCTGTGTCTTCAGCAGACGTAGAGCTAACAGAACTGGCAGCGTTGCGAGGCAAGGGCTCAAACATGTACGGCTGGAAGCCTTCTACACCAAACCAAGCTTCTGCCGCCCTGGCGTCCTCTTCAACAACATCTTCGTCCCCGCTTTCCTCCTCGAAATAAATAATGTATGACGAAGCAGGCTTATCCACGACCTCCGACACTAAACTCTCCTCCTCTTGCATGTTTCAACTGTCCATAGCGTTCCTTTAAGTGATGCTTAGTGCTACTTACTCTGGAAAAAACCTAAATCTAGATAAGTCATTTTTTTCTTAAAATAAGTGCATTTGTTCTTGGATTGAGGAGGTAAAAGATACATTTTGCCAAGGGAACAAGACAATTTACACTTAATATAAAACACAATTGCATTGTCTTAGTTCTAGTGTATGTTATCTAATTATCTTATTTTAAGAGTAAAAACACTCATTCCATTGGCAACTATCTCATTTACCTCTCAAAATAAGGCTAAATACACTTAATTTAAAAAATTTTGACTTATTTCTAGATTGTTTTTCCAGTGTGGTCCCAATGTAATTAATTTCCCATTTTTTAACCTACTAGCACTAAGGTGCTAACTGGTTGCTTACCAACCTTCTGTCACAACAATCCCACCTCCTTGATAAACAACCAATCACATTTACTTTATTCACTCGTGTAAAGTCGTGCACCACTCTGGAGAATTCGGAAATGGAACGGTTGGAACGGCCGCTTCCCTACAACTTTAAAAACTTAATTTTCCTGGTTGTTTTTGTCTAAATATTTGCCGATCAGGTTAAATACCTCATTAACTGCATCCGGTGACCTTAATGCTTCACTATGCACCAGGGAAGCCGTCACATGTTTCATTTGAACAGGCTTGGATTTTAGGCGAAGCATTCGCAAAGCTTGTGTTCTGTAACATCAGCATACCCTTTAGTCATGTAAAAAAAAACAACTATTTAATGACTTACTTTTTGGTGTTTTTTGAAGCGTATGGCGATTTGACCTTAAATTGTTTTTCTGTACATGACTAAAGGGATACACACCCATCCAGGTATTTTGAGTTGTATTTTTCATACAAAACTAAAGGGAAAGAAGAGAATAAACTAAAGGGATAATGCACACGTGTATTGACTAGAGGTATGCTTGTCTGACGGGGGTATGCTGATCTGACAGAACACCGGCAATAAATGTCAATAAGTCCGCAGGTTTGATTGTGAGTAAAAAAAAAAGAGCATTTTTTTCATAAACAGGTTTTGAATCTGGAATCCAGCTTGGTTTTCCATTTCAGGTGTTCTAATGACACCAAAGCAAATTTCTCTGCAGGATTTTGTGTCCAAGAGCTGCTTTCTGTGTCACCTTCATTGGTTCTGCTGAAGTGTCCGACCAGAAGGATGGTGGAGGAGAGAACAGCTGGTTAGCCCCTCTGTAACTAGCTGTCATATGTACTAATGAACTCCCTGATTACCTTCCCCACGGAGCCTGTTTAAGTCCTGATCTTTCTATTTTTACCCCAATGGACAAAAGCTTCTGGCTATAAATCATAGGATAATTGTGCATTTTGCAGGTCAGACATGCACAGGATCTTCTGGAGTTTGATTTAGACATCTGACCTGTTGATGCATGAATTGCATCACTCAAAATGCAAACATCCTGTATCCCAAACTTCCACCGCCTCCAGTGACTACAGCCTTAATGATGTCTGCACTGCATTTCCCAGACAGCTATACGGTACTATAAAAGGAAGTAAGGGGGAGGTGGCCCCGTTACCTGGCCTCCTCCCCTCAGCACCTCATCATCATCAGTAATCAGCCTCGCAGCTCTCAGCTGCCCGCCTACATTAGAGCTCTAATCTGAGGGTGATTAGCCCTGACAAACTGGGGGAAACTATAATGTGCGGTATAAGCGCAACTGTTTGTTTAGCCTCTGAACAGAGCTCAGGGCAAGCAGGGAAGTTTTGCCAAATGATGGATGGCATGCACTGTAAACGGACTGGTTCCCTGAGGATTTGAGTCAGCCTCGGTGTGTTTCTGTGTGGTCATGGCTCCAGTGGACTGGCTGCCTCGACCTGTAAACACTGCCACATTCTTTGCTTTGTTGCTTTATGTTTCCTCCTAAGATTCCTAGCTAAGCGCGGATACACGCCCGTGTACAGTTTGGTTCAGTAGGTAAATGAGGGCGACAAGGTGCAGGAGAAAAAGCTCAGACTAGGATCTATTTCACTGTGTCATGTAATGAAGCTGTAGCGGGTGTCCCCCGCTGCACCTCCCCCACCCGCAGCCACCCAGCGCTCTCACCTTTCAGCTCTCCTCAATGGGCTTTGGGAATTTCTCACAACGATCTGGTTAGCCGTGTCACAAAGAAGCCTGTGGACAGTTGGAAAGCACGCTTCCTCACACACACACCCATAGAGGATTCCAGCTTTCATCACAGCCAGTTAAGAGGAGGAAACTGGAAACGACAAGCCGTCTCACAAAGCGATTGATCCCGAGTTACGTACATCATCTGCTCCCTCACACAGTAACATTGATCGCTGTTGCGACATCCTCCAAAGGAGCAGTTTGGGTTTTACAGACCAGAATCTAAACCTCACCCACTCGTCTGTTTGTTTCCATCCCGATGTTGAAGCTTTCGAGGCGCTGACAGTTGCAAATGACATCCAGCTTTTTGTTATTAAGCTGCCTTGCACTTTCTTCCACTGCTAAAGAGGGCTCTTTTCTTCCACATGATTTAACCGGGTCACCAAAGTTTTTGTTTGTCTCAGGCAGGCGGAGACCAAGGGAACGAAGGTCGATGTTTGCATATTCGACAGCCGACACACACTGTGATTGCCTCCAAAACTTGTGCACACAGACCTGATGAGATATTTGATGCAGCTTCCACTGCAGAGGACCAAACTAGTTCATGATATCGATAGCCTGGTCTGCAGATCCCTGGACCAGCTGTATGGGTGTTGGTTATTTTTTCCTCTAGATGTGAGCAGAGTACCACATTATACTGGAAAAAATAAAGATAAATATTTTTTTCTTAAAATAAGTGCATTTGTTCTTGGATTGAGGTAGAGACAGTTTGCCAATGGAACAGACAATCTATACTTAAAACAAGAAAACACAATTGCATTGTCTTAGTTTAAGTGCATTTTATCTAATTATCTTATTTTAAGAGTAAAAATACTTATTCCATTGGCAAACTATCTCATTTACCAACTCAAATTAAGGGTAAATAAGACATTTTTACTTATTTCTAGATTGTTTTTCCATTGTATGGAGGTGTGAGGAGTGATCACAGTCAAGTTTTTTTTTATTTATTTTCCATTTATCAATTATGCAAAGCTACAACACGTCCGAGTCAATGATTGATTAGGGTGCTTGTTTAGATATATTTCCATGACCAAAAGACTTGGATTAAGCTTGGGGTGAGGGTGGGGGTTTGGGTTTGACACAATGTGAATGTCACGGCTGGGGGGCCCCTATCCCGTTATCATAACAGTTCATGAAAATCACTGCCACACAGTTTGTGTGGTCTGTGTATTAGAGTATGTTTTATTCACTTATGTTGATGATCTTTTAGTCTTATTTCATTTAAGGAAAAGTCCGGGCAGCAAGGAATAATCAATGGGTCATTATTTATACGTAAAACTAATACGTTCGTGGTCATTTAAAAGCATTTTGTGTTAATCAGTAAAAAAAAAAAAAACATTTTTTGCCGTAATCACTGAGTCCGGGAGCGGCCATTTTTTGCCCAAATATAGTAACCCCTCACTCCTGCCATCTTCCAGCAGTGACGTCACGGTGCGGTAAGCCTAGCGCCATTCTCCCCGCTTTACAAGCAAACTCAATGGGAACTACTAGACACATCTGCAATCAACAACAATTATTGAAGATTTCCAGAGGACTTCACCATTGAAATTCACCAGAGCTATAGTGAAACTGACAATGCCCACGTGCATGGCAGTTAGATGTTGGAATACATAGGGGAAAAGTGAAAAAAATATTTGACCTTTCCGATTCCTGATCCTCCACGGACGGGTTCATTGTTGGATTGCCAACTTGAAGAGGGAGGATTTGCCATCGAACTTCTGGCCAAAGAAAAAACACGTAATATGTAGCCAACATTTGGAAGAAGAATGTTTTCAAGATGACTTGGATAATAGCGCGTTGTGACAAACACCAGATACAGCGCTGGGACTTGATCAACAGCCGATACCGCACCGTGACGTCACAAACCAGTAGGTGGCAGTAGAGTTCTTTGACAAACATGGATGCCTCCAGTAAAGCACATTCACATGAAAATTACTCTTAATTAAAAACTCTTATCATTTCATATTTAACGTATTTTCAGAAGTTTGAATTTTGAATGTAACCGGACTTTTCCTTTTAAAAAACAGCTTTATTAAGGAAGAGTGTTTCTGATGTTACCTAGTACCTTGGTCTGGTGCGTTCACTGCTCGTAAAAAAAGCTGGGATATCCAGTTTCCTGATTCTCTGAGCCTCACCATTTTTCTGTGCATCTCTGAGCTCCAGTGGTGTCAGTGGCCTTTGGCAGAGGCTCAACAAAAGCTAAACCCGCCTGTCTGTAGGTGGGAGTTTGAAATCTCTCATCCGTCGTATTCGGCTCAAGAAAACAAACCAAAGCGGTGATGTCAGCCTCTCTGCTGTCTGCACCCATAACTGTTTTCTGTGTTGGGTTCTTGCCAACTGTTTTACTCATAAGGAGAGTTCTGAGGGTGAGGCATGCGGACGCTCGGTCCTGAAGCACTCCTACTGACTCTCAGACGTCAGGCGATTCTTCTGCCATGAGGCTCCTGTTAGACATGCATTGGGGTTATTACACACACTTCAGAGCTGATGCCACGCGAAGGGTTTCAAAGATTTAGATTCAAAGCACTTTATTATTTCCGCTGACTGAGGAAAAAAACATGCAGTATGTTTAACAAATTCTTTTATTCAAACAGAAATTGCAATATTTATTTTGCACTTATATTATGATTTGTAATTTATATTTTCTAGAGAGAAACTTTAAGATTTCCATGAGATTTTGATTTCCTTTTTTGACATCTGGTGAGCAGAAAAAGTAACCCTATTCCCATATATTGCAAGGGGATTTTTTTTATCTTTTAAATGCTGGTGCTATTGATTTTAGGTCGAAGTTTCAATCCCAGGTCAGACTCTTAACCCTGAGTGGATCTCTCTGCTGATGCTGGAGATTCTGACCCTTCCATTACTTATTGGGTTTTATTATCCACCTCTCATAATCTGAGCTATTTTTAATCCAACCTTTACTCCGATATCATCACAAATGTAGTTTTACACAATTATTTTCTAAATACAGAGAGGCAGTGCAGATGTGATCTGTGTCTCAGTGGATCCTTAGGCTGAACTTTATCATTTTCTGAGACAGAAGAGCCTCTTCAAACTGCTTTACAATCGGGCTGCCGTCATTGAGTAAGAGTCGATTCACCCTGAATGGGTTCCCAGTTTGTTACAGGGTGCGTTAACATGTAAATATGATATAATACTGATGTTTTTGCCTAGTTAAACATCTGTGGTGCATTTTTTTCACTTCACTCACATGTTTTAAATGAGCAAAAAGTTAAATATTTGGCTGTAAAATGAACCAGAATTATTCTAATTGTCAGCTGGAATAAAAGTAAGATTCACTTTTTCTTCTTTCAAAGCGGTGTAGAACTGCAGTCTGCAGCCTGTGTGGTAACTTCCTGTTTCTGGAGCCAATCACATGAGACTTGCCAAAACAGAGCACAGGATTAGGTATTTTACGTATTCAAAACAGCAGCAGAAATTATCTCAACAAAGCCTAAGAAACCTAAGCATCCTTCAAATTCTCTTTAAACACAAAGTAACAGGATTTCTTCTTAAGCTGCCCAATGCTAATTTATGTGGCTAATTAATTAGCTCTATTCTTAGAACTTAGATTTGAATCTTCTGTTTAACAACAAAAGAAATAGTTCAGTCACAGTTTGGTGTTTCTTAGTGAATGTGTTAGAACCAGTCCCGAGTCTTCAGGTCTCAGGCAGATATATATCTTAACGCATATATTCTAAATGAGGAAGCGCATCAGTATCAGACACTAAATATATCTCACTGCAAAGTAAGACTTATCGGATCACCAACAGCCTTTTTGCAGGTATCTACAAAAAAGAATGTTATTGTAGAAGATTAAAGATTCTTCCTGTGATTGAAAATGTACAATACAGAGAAAGTAGGGGGCAGTTTTATGCTGCAGGGAAACATTTCCTCTCTATGGATAGGGAACATGATCGGCATCTATGCGAAATGGATGCAGGCATACCTAATAAAGTCCTGGAAAAATATGTACTAGATTTCGACTGATTTTCTTAGGTTATTTTAAATCCATGTGTCAAAGTTAAAACATGAATAAACTAAACAAGATTACAGAGCTTGAATATTTATGTTCAGAAAACTCTGTCTATCCATCCAAACTGTTTGAGGTGTTCTGCAGAGATGAAGACAGACATGTCTGTTTGTTGAAAGCTGACAGACAGAAATACATTCAGCTGAATCTCACACGAGATCAGCCAGACACTCCAGAAGACTCAGGTGGAGGAATCAGAGATAAACAGACCACAGTTTGTTAGACTGAAGGGTCAGCTGTCTGATCAAGTAGTCAAGAGCACCACAGGGGGCGGTACTCTCCCTATTCCTCTTTAATCTGTATACATCTGATTTCTAGTAGCAGACAGAGTCCTGTCATCTCCAGAAATGCTGGGATGACTGCAGTAAATGGGTTCATCAAAGATGTAGAAGAAGCTGAGTACAGAGCGCCAATGAATTTCAGGAACAAGTTGAATCCTGTTAACATGAAGGGAGAAGAAGTGGAGGAGTATAAACACCCTTGTGTTCACTTGGACAACAAACTGAAGTCATCTACTAGAAGGAACAGAGCAGACTGTTCTTCTACAGGAAGCTCAGTGTTTGCAGCAAAGCTCTTCTGTCAGTGTTGTGGAGAGCGGGATCTCTTCCACCTTAATCTGTTGGTGTAACAGTATCAGATTGAATCACTGCAAAAAAGATCTAGAAATAAGTACAAATTTCTTAAATTAAGTGTATTCACCCTTAATTTGAGTAGGTAAATTAGTGAGTTTGCCAATTGAATGAGTAATTTTACTCTTAAAATAAGATAATTAGATAATATGCACTTGAAAAAAGGCAATGCAATTGTGTTTTCTTATTTTAAGTGTAAATTGTCTTGTTCCATTGGCAAAATATCTCTTTTACCTCAATCCAAGAACAAATGCACTTATTTTAAGAAAAAAGGACTTATCTAGATTTAGTTTTTTTGCAGTGAATTAAAACAGCTCAAGCTAATAAAAAAGGCCAGCTCTGTTATAGGAACTCATCTTGAGCCTCTGCAGATCATTTAACAAAGAAAAGTTATCACTTAGAAATACTTAAGTAAAGAAGATTATGGACAGCAGTGAGCGTCCACTTCATCAGACTGTTAAACACAGTGTCTACAGTGTAAACAAACCATTACAGAAAATCTTTCCTGCCTACATCTATTATGATTTAATTTCCCTTTGTCATCAATATAGAGTTTTTAATTGCATTGACATTTAGAAACGCTTAATATTGATACAATGGAGCTTAATGAACGCTAACCTGCTCAATTTGTATTTTATCTTTTTATATAAGATTAATATTATGATATTACATTCATTTTCCTTCTAATCAACGGTTTAGTCACATGTTGTCTTGATCCAAAACACAAAATCATACGAAGCTACATGTTTAGTTATTGGTTGTAAAACTTTTAAAGGACTATTTGCAACATTATAAATGCAATAGTGGCAGCTTATAAAGACTGATTAGCAGGAGTTGAGCTGTAAATGATTTTGTTGAAGAACTGTATGCCAATATTTTATTTAGAATAAATAAAAAGCATTTCTGCTCAAGCTCAGAAAGTTAGGAAGGGTTTTATCAGTAAATGAAAAAGCCTCTGTCATAAAATCTGATGTGTGTTATACAACGGAGTATTAGGGTCAGGTTAGAGATTTATTTTTATTTTGAGAATAAAGTGGTAACGGTACCAGAAAAAGTCATAAAATTATGAGAATAAAGTTGTAATATTACGGGAAATTAAGTCATCATTCAACAACCTGTTTCAGAAATAAACCTTTAATCTCCAACCAGCAGATGACGGCCGACCAACTCAACCAATCAGCAATCTGAGTCCACTTTGTCATCCTGCCCAATTTGATGCTGGTGCTAAAAATTTCCTTATTTGTCGAACCAGAACCAAAGAATAACTTCACATGATGCTCGACATTCCTCATTTTAGTGAAGAAAGTGCTTTTTGTAAGAGTTGTCATAAAATACAACTTGTTTCTTGTAATTTTAGGACTTTATTCTCTTAATATTATGACTTTACGACTATTCTCGTTGTGACTTTTTTCCCGTAATATTAAGACTTTTTTTCTTGTAATTTTATGACTTTATTCTCATAATTTTATGACTTTATTCTCATAATTTTATTACTTTATCCATATATTGTTACGACTTTATTCTTGTAATTTTATGGCTTTTCTCGTTGTGACTTTATTCTCATAATTTTACGACGTTATTCTTGCAATGTTAAGGCTGTATTCTCGAAATAGAAGAAAAAAAAAATCTCTAGCCTGGCCATAATACTCCGTAGTGAAATATTGATGAACATTATGGTCTGCTGACGCCCTGAATTTCCTGATAAAGTGTGAAACAATTCCTTCCTTACCAGGACCGGCGACCTCAGGCCTCAGAGGCCATCTTTTTACTTATTTTTTTTTTTATTTCTCATCATTAAGTCATTCATCTATTATCCTCTCCGTATAAAAAAAAAACAGCCGATTCGATTTGTCTCAGGTGTGTGTGGCAGAGGAAGCAGGTTGCCGTGGTAGCCAAGCGGAAACAGAACAGATGTGGGTTGGTGGAGGTGTCCTGCGTGACATTTGGGCCTCAGAGATATACTCTGGATGTGTGGCGTGATGCTCCTCTGCTGTCCGGGCAAATAGGTTAAATAAACTCAACGGGATGATGGCTGGCATTGCTCTGACATCACTTCAGGGAGGGGAGGGGGGGACATCTGGTGCCTCAGCCTACGCTTCAAGGTGGCCTTGTTGTATTTATTTTTTTGTCTTTTTTACTGGAGTCGATTCTATCATCATGAAATAAAGAGCTGAGCTGCAACAAGAAACTGTTCAAGGCCAAGATTAATGAGGGGGGGGGGGTCGCTAAAAGCAGTGGGAGAGTCTGCTGGACAACCTAATGAGCTTCATGAAGCGTTTTCAGCCCCATTTGGTCCAGATGTTTTATCAGAGGTGTTTTTTTCTTCCTGCCCACATTTCCTCTCCTGTCTTTCAGCACATCTTGCTCATTATCAACATGCCTGTTATCAGGGGAAGGTGGCCATTGTGTGTCCAGATGAGTAATAGTCTGAAGGAGGGAATAAAAACGTGTCATAGAGGAAGAATGTAGACTTTAGACGTGTTCATAAGGGATGTTTTTTTTTCTTTGTTCTCCAAACATGCCAGCAACATGCTTCAGAGTGATACAGTACGTTGGGGACAGCGAGCTGGATGTGTGGGGTATTTTTCCGCAGTGTTGGTAATGTTTTCTTCCCTTGTGTTGCAGCTGAGATATCAGCACGGCTTGACCACCCCAGACCTGCAGCAGACGCTACCCAACTTAAAGAACTTCCTGGAACATGGTCTGATGGTGCGATGGTAAGAATGAAGAAAAACTTATATACGCTATAAAGCTACATTTAGATTTTGCCTCAGCAAACTGTGATCAAAAATGCTAAAAGCTTTTATTTTTCTGAAATTAGACAACTTTTTTTTTTTTTTTTTATAAAAACACTGTTGAAAATTCCTAAAAATATATATTATTGGAAGTCCAACCACCAAATAAATACACAGCTCAACATAACAGCAAGTGAAACCACATGGTTTTTAGCCAGAACGTCTGTTGTGTAACATAAAACACTTCTGGACGAGTCCAGCTGGCAAAGCATCCCTAAGACAAAACAATTCAAAGAATAAGCCGGTTCTCTAGAGGCCTTTCCGTGTGTCGGCTGCACAATGTTCTAACATTCCTGCAACTTATTCCTTAGACCAGGGGTTCCCAACGTAGGGGTCAGGAGATGGGTTTTCACAATCATGATGTGAACCCTGGGATATATGGAACGCAAAAACACATAAAGAAATAAATGAATGTACAATAAAATAAAAAGATGGAATATTTATTTATGTATTTATTTACTTATTTATCTTACACATCAGGGGTAACCAATTAAAACTCAGCAGAGTCTGAATAAAGAAAATCAACAACCAGTAAAGGTCCGGAGACACTGTTAATTATAATCTGTTACTTTAAACAGAATTTAACACTGAAATAAAATGCTTATGCATAAATAAAATGATTATGCATCTGTTATACATTGAATTTTTAAATAATTCTAAAATCTAAATTGTTTTTGAAGTAGAGAACAACAATCTTTCAGTTTGGAAAATAGACAATTTCCCGACTCACTTTTTTTTAATAAAACACCTGAACCAACCGTTTCTTTCTTTTTTCTGTCTTAATGTTGGCAGTGGGCTTTATGCTGCCCTGCAAGGCTTTAAACCTGGGTTTAACCGGAGACTAAGCCATTCTAAAGCACATATCAAGGAGCTCATTTAGAGCCTGGATCCAGATTTATTTTTGATTCTGTTCATGTCGGAGAATAGGCCTGGGTATTTTCGCTAAAGTCTTGAATCGATTCAACTTTGATTCATACAGTTCTAAATCGATTAATTTCAATTCGATCTGTTTTTACAATAATTAAAGTGGTTCAACTGTGTTTTAAAATACTAATTTATTTTCTTTTTTACTTTCAGATTAAACACAAAGTGCAAACTTTTAAATCAGACAGTTAAATCATGAGATGTGAACAAAACTGTCTCATAAGTGCAAACTTGTTTGTGAAAAGTGAAAAAGTGAAGCCTCACTCGAGCAAGTAGACGTGACACAGCAGACATGCGTGGGCTGCATTATCTCCTCTGCACAAACCATATTTTCAGCATTGTCTGTAACAACTACAGGGTGTTTTCTGGACCTTTGTTTATGTCTTCAGTCAACCTATTGGGTATATTTGCAGCTGTCTGGCTTAAAGTAATCTTGAGTGCATCTTTCCTGCACATTTGAATATGAATGTCACGCGGGTCACAATAAAGTGAATCGATCTCATTCTCTAGACATCGATTTTGCAAAAATGTAAAGGAATCGATTCAATATCGATTAAATCGATTTTTTTACCCAGCCCTAGTGGAGAATCCTGCTTCACAGCAGCAGGTTGAGCCAACATACTCTAAATCAGGGGTGCCCAACCTTTTTTAAACCAAGATCTACTTTTGAAGTTGATGGCATGCTGAGATCTACCACGCCAAACACAAGGGATGGCAGTATTTGTTTTTTATTTGCACAGGTGGAGAATAAAATGTAAGTCCAACAAACGGGGAAATGATCAATTGTGTCAAAAAATAGGTTGCAAAAACAGAACTTAACAATCTCATTAGAACTTCACACCATATCACTCACTCACTGATAGATTTCCTTATCTCATTATCTCTTCAGATTCCTCTTCACGCTTTAGAGTCCCTGGTAACAACCTAGCAACCGTGGCAAACCATGCCCAGCAATCAGCATGCATAAAAAAAGGTTCCCTGCATACTTTTTACTTTTCATTTTATTATTATGAAAACAGACGTTGGCCTCTCATGATCAATGATTTGATAGTGTTTTTTTAAAACGTTTTTTTTTTTTTTTTTTTGTTATAGCCATAAATAGGTCTACATTGTAAAACTTCTCGCGATTGACTGAAACTCCGTCCGCGATCGACTGGTTGGGCAGCTCTGCTCTAAATGTTCAGGGTCATCTTTGAGCACCATTTCACTTTTCTTTCACCAGTTCACCACAGTTCTTCCAGCAGTCCACACTTTCTCTGCTCTCTTTTTCTCATCATCTTCTCCTTCTTTCCCATCGCCCGGCTTGCCACAGGTTTGCCTGCTGTGTCTAAAAGTAGCAGCAGCAGCAACCCAGACTGACAGCAGCTCATTGGCTAAGGTGTATCACATGTAGCCTGATGCCGAGTACTCTGGAGGGCTTTACCGTATTAACAGGAGAAGTGGGGCAAGAGAAGTTAGACAGTGTGATCGGACAACATGCAGTAATTTCTAAGTGTTTTAAATCAGCTTGGGTCCGGATTAGCCAGCAGGTGTGTCCGGATCCAGACCGCGGTCCGCTAGTCCGTGGCCTCTGTTATACATGATTCAAACATTTAATATGTGATCAGTTGTAAATAAACTAAATAATTAGATGAATATCCTTCACAGGGTGGCTGGGCGCACCCTTCTAGAACGGGGGAGGAGCTCAGTTATCCTGGAGGAGCTCTGAGTAGAGTCTTTGCTCCTCTACGTCGAAAGGAGCCTGCTGAGTGGGCTCGGGCATCTGTTCCAGATGCCTCCTGGTCGCCTCCCTTGGGAGGTGTTCCAGGCATGTCCCATTGGCAGGAGACCTTGTGGAAGGCCCAGAACACACTGGAGGGACTATGTCTCTGAGCTGGCCTGGTGTCGCCTCAGGGTCCCCCCAGAGCAGCTGGAGGAGGTGTGTGTTGATCGGGAAGTCTGGGCATCTCTGTTTAAACCGCTGCCTCTGTGACCTGGCCCCGGATAAAGCGTAAGAAAATGGATGAATGGATGGATTGTTGAAAATTTAATTGGGATAGCTAGAAAGAATATTGCAACATAAAGTGATAGTGCAATATAGTGATATTATATCGGGAAATGTATAATATCGCAACACACATGCCAGTTCTCACGCCTACCCCCATCGCTCAAACCTTTTCTGCCTTGAGGTCAACTCTGGCAAACTAAGATTCACCACCCGTGGTCCTAATTCAATCCTTTATTTTGCTCGATTGACGATTTCTGCGCACACTCACTGTGCTCTGCCTGATCTCTGTGATCGTGATTTGTTTAACTGTATAAAAAGAAATCGCACCAATCGCCAATCAAAGACAAGCTTTTTTTTTTTTGCAATCAATCCACTAAAAGCTCCATATTGAATAGCATTTGTTAGACTCCTAAAGGCAAAGATCTGTGCAGAGCTTAACCGGCATAGTCCGTTCAGTAGTAGAAATGAAGCTTATATTCCCTTTTGCAGGCAATTTATTTATGCCTTATTGCTATATTTCCTGTTTTACAATAGTTAGTGGAAGGAATCGTGCTACAATTAATGTTTACAGACTGATCACACTTCTATAGAGGAGATTTTTTTTCCAAAGAAAAAAGCAAAAAATATCCAGTTTTAAAAAAATAAAGCTCAAGTATTATAACTTTCAACCAATCTAACGGTTCAATACCATAAATAAACGATTAAAGGCATGTGTTGCTGTGCTCATATGATTATTTCTTCAACATTTTAGCATCAAAACGGGTTTTTGACTTGAAAATTTGGTTTAGTTTTGTTCATTTATAGCTTTAGATTGAATGCGATTATTGCGATAGCAGACCTTGTAATTAACTTGATGAAAAATTCAAACCACATCCCAACACAAAAATTTACAAATGTTTTCAAAAAAAATACAACTAAGACCATAATTTAATACATTTATAATTGTTGCATTATCACGCTATTTACATTTTTAGTGTGACTCTCATATGATTTATTGGAAACGGAAGTGGCCCCTGAGAGAGAAAACAATGCCCACTCCTGTGCTAAAGCAGGTGCATCTAATTCTGCCATATTTTTGCACATGAGAAACACTTTTTATCCTTAAGTGTCATTGCTTTTTTAGTTCATTGTGTAAATTAAATCAATTCATCTCACAATTGCTGTCAGGCCCCATCCAGGATCTTTTCTATATAATTAAAATCTGATCTTCATTCAGTTAATCTAATGACATCTTTCTCATGCAGAACAAGCAGAGTCCCTCTTTCACTGCTATATTCTTCGCCTCCACTGTTATCACAGCTCAGATCTCTGTCTTCTTCCGCAGCCTTTTGGCCTTCAAGTGACCTTAAATAAAACCTGGGAGCTGGTATGCACCAGACTTTAGCTCCATTGGCCTATAGAAGACAAAGCTGTCTTTGATCTCCTGCCCTGTCTGAGGGTCGGCAAAGGGGGAAAATGTCTATTACAAACAATAATTGAATAATCTTTTGTTTTGAAAGAAAAGAAGCCATGAAAAGTCGAAGCTTCCAAATCAGTTCTCCATCCCTCCCCCCACCTAATGGGGAGTGGAAGGGCCCTAAGATATGAGATGAAAGCATAGCTCCTAAAACCCTTAAGCTATGCCTGTGTGCTTTGGGGAGTGTATAGATGTCCATGGGATAGTTAAAAAAACGGAGGTGATAATATATCAACATCCAAACTTTTGTCAAAGTGGCAAACAGCTCAATTATTCAACCAAAAAGTCGTGGTAGATTTAGACTTTAAGTCACCAAAAATGTCCGATCCAGCAGGAAACGACTTTGTCTTTAATGAGGATCTGTTTTTAAACAGACCAATGTTCTCCTAAATAATCTTATTTTCCACAAATGTTAGCAGCTGGTTGACCAATAAAACTGAATATTATAGAAATGCTTCTGCAGACGCCTGATAGTTATTAAACCTTTAAAGTTCAGGTTACCATTTTTGATCACTTCCCTCAGTGAGGTCTAGAAGCACAAGATCTATATCCAGC